GGAATCATTAAGACTGTAAAAGACCTCCAAAATTATTTAGTTCAACCTTTGATGAAATACCAACATGTCAACTAAACCACAGCACTAAGTGCCATGTTGAGTCATTTCTTGAATACCTCCAGGGCTGGTGACTCCACTACCTCCCTGGGCAGCCCATTCCAATGCCTCACCACCCTTTCAGTGAAGAAATTTTCCTGATGTCCAACCTGAACCTCCCCTGGCGCAGCTTGAGACCATTTCCTCTTGTCCTATCACTGGCTGCCCAGGAGAAAAGTTCAAGTCCCACCTGGCCACAACCTCCTTTCAGGTGATAGTGGAGAGTGATAAGGTGTCCCCTGAGCCTCCTTTTTTACAGACTGAATAATGACAACTCCCTCAACCACTTCTCATATGTCTCTCTCTAGAATTTCACCAGCTTCGTTGTCCTACTCTGGACTTGTTCCAGCACCTCCTTACAATGAGAGGCTCAAACTGGACGCAACACTTGAGGTGTGAAATCAACAGTGCCAAGTACAGAGTGAGCATTGCCATCCCCACACCAACTCAGTTACATCTGATTTAGACCAAAAACACAGATCTTCCCATCATGGCACATTAAAGTGGCCAAGCACATATATAAGAATTACAGAACATTACTGTTGATTACTTCGAAAATTTCATAGTATAACATGCTCCCTTTGATAGTACACGTCTTACTTTTAAAAGAAAGTAATAACTAACTTTCACATAGAGAGAAACAATTTAAAAGTCATTGCTTGTAGTGTATTAAAGAATGGCTTTTATTAACCCTAGAGAATACTTAGGTAGTTATTCACAGAGCTGTATTTCCAGTTAATATTTAGTAGGTAGTCAGTAATGCAGCAATAAAATGAATTAGTTTTTCAAATAAAAGAACAGAATAGATGCTCACATTCTCCAACAAAGCTATAATGCATCTTTATTTTCTGAGAAGGAAGCTTAAGGATATCAGATGGGATTATACAATGGATAGCTATTATGACTTACTAAATCAGTCCTCTAGACACATTAAAGATTCCCAGCAAGATACAAGCTATTTTTTTTTAAGTGAGAAAAAGCAATTACTTCTCCTTCATGTGGGAATTTTCAAGGTTGAACTTCAGTCTTTCTCTATTGCATCCCAAGTAAAACAAGATTAATTTAGTGCAAATATACTGCTTGATGTTTGGGTGTCCTGTGGCAAATTATGATCTCCAAGTTCAGATCTGCTGTCACTCCTGCCATGGGATGGATACTGAAACAATGGATTCCAGCTCAGATGGGGAATACTCTGAGAGCAGATGCAGTTCTGCAGTGCTCTGTTATCATGTTTGATATAACTTTGAAGCTTGAAGATTTTGAAAGGTCATTTATAGTAGTATATTAATGTTCTGAAAGGTTTTTCTGGTTTATGTTATCAATAACCTCAGAAAAGCTTGCAGTCCTGAAATAGCTATTTGCATATATGTGCCCAGCATTGATTCTACTAAGTGTCAGAAAGAAAAAAGCCAAGGCCATATATTAGTTCAGATGTTCTGCACTGGGAAAAATGTGCTTAAGTGCACTCTGTGGGAGACATCTTTGTGCAGAGTTTCTCTGTCCTCCTTTCTCTACATTAAATTCTCCTTCAGTAAAAATATTGATTTTGAAATCTCACTTTAGTTGGAAATCTCATTTTAGTTGTGAGGTATATTTTTTAAGAGATGATTTTTGTAGATGGCAGAGTACCAGTTAGTTCTTAAAAGGACACTAAAGGTTTTTAATTCCTCCTCTGATTGCAACTACTAGAATTGTTTTTAATAACACACTGCAAAGCTAGTTGCTGCAATTATTTTTGCTTCCTTCATATGAGGTAAGTTATGGATTATCTGTAAAATCATATGGCCAGCAGCCAGGTGAGACTACATTAAAAGGTGAAGGAGGGGGAAATGCACCAAGAAAACATTTCTACCAGAGTGGCAGATTTGATGTTTCCTGAATGATGAAAAATTACTGTAAAATATAGTGCCAGTTAAAAGCCCAAAATTGATTTAAAATAAAAACCACCTTGATTTATATCTTGCGTAAACACAGGACTTGAGAAGGTTTCTGATAAGATTGTCAGATATTGAATATTTTAATTTTAAACTGAATGTCTTGAGTACAAAAGACCTTAATAGAAAATACAGGAATGTGTTTGTCTAAGCAGGAAAACCTGTCTGTCAAAGAGTTGAGAAATGAAAATTGTCAGGAAATATAAACTTGACAACTTCTTTTCTGACCTGTCTTGTTAAAGACAGCCAAAAAGCACTGTATGGATTCACCTGACAGAAATAAGACGAAATTATATCCATGAGAAAGTCAAGAGATATCCTGAACTTAATGTGAATCATAGTGTAATTGTGGAGATGATTATCGTCTTTGGCTGCAAGAACCTCTGTATGTCCATGGATTACTTACATGTCTCTTGAATTATCTGATAAGAGAAACTTGAAACAAAAAATATTCATTCCTTGCAGCACCCAAAAGCGATTCTTTTATGCTAACACATAGTGTCTAGTGATTTTTTGCTTTATATCCACTTCCTACATTGTAAGTATTCTGAGTAACACTCTTTTGAGATGCTTTGTACTTTGTGGAGAGGAACTTCTATATATCCCTTGAAGTCATTATGGGAGTTATTCAAAGTAAGCCTACTTTTAGTTTACCAAAATTCTCTCATTGATTTAACTATTCTGCTGTGCAATTTCTTGGTTAAGAATATCTTGTGAAGGGAAAAAGGATTTGAATATACATTTGGAAATACATAAATTAAATTGGAATATATATGTGTATAGCAATACATTTTTCCAGTCTCCTGAGAAAATGATGGGTTAAGCTTAGTGGGGATGTTCGCAAATCTAAAATAGTTAGCTTTACTGGCTAAGTGAAATTAAAGCTCTAGAGGATAAAATGCAAACGATTTGATGGAGGATAGCAATTAGCTCTACCATGTAGGAATATTGTTTAGCATGGAGTGTTCAAAGAAAATCATTTAACGTTCCATATTTGGCCTGTCACATGGAAAAGATTCAACACAGGATTGAGGGCTGTATTATGACAGGAAGTGAATGGTATGGCACGATAGGTAGATGTGAAAAATGGACCCAAATTTTCTAAGAAGCCTTCTCCACCTAAGGAACTGCATTACTGTTTAAAAGTGCAATATTGAAGAACCAATACAAAGCTGAAATTTTAAGTGTTATAAAAAGTATAAATCTATTAAAAAATGTGGAGCTAGAGAAAGTAATTTTTAACATATTTTTGTTGTTGTTCTAAAATTTAAACTAAGTAGAGGTAACTGCCAATGCAACATAATTTATAATGTAGTATTGATTTTGCTGGTATGGACAGTATCAGACCAGGCCTGTGCTCTTTCAGTTTCTCAGTCTATTCTCCTTAAAATTATCAAAATAGTGTAGGTAAGATCTTACCTACAAATATTTGTGGTATTTTTATGCTAATTACTTTATTCCCATAGACAATCTCTTCACTGGCAATCCATAAATAAGAAACATACAATATTAAAATTGATGGTTTTCTTTAATTTATAAAAATTTCCCTTGAGTTGGGGTATTAAAAGAGAAAAACTGCTTTTGGGTAGCTTGAAGCTACAAATGGCTCTGAATGTCTGATAGTTTTCTTTAACAGGAAAGCTATGGCAGATACATAATAGGGAGACGGAAAACCACCTTTACCATTGTGAGAGGGAGTTAATAGTATCTTAGAGTCTGAATATTCTACGAATTTTCAGGAGCTTCTTTGTCAGTATACAATACTACATGAAAAATCAAAAAGGCATTCAATACAAAGCAAAGAGAGGAGTCTGATAGAACTGTTTTACAATAAAATATTAAACAATATTTCTAATCTTGGCACATTGCTGAGTCAGTATGACACAGGTCTAGTCATTTGAATTTCTTCTTACTGTACAGCCAAACTGGAAGCAAATGCAAATATTCATATTTCATATGTATATAAGAACTTCCCTATTCTATGCATATAGCAATACATAATTTACAGCAGGATTGAAGACAATTTATCAGTATTACATAGAATGCTTTGCATCTACTGATATTTCTTTTGGATTTAAAGGTATTTTGGCTCTTTGCTTTTCTTCCATAAACTAAATATTATTCTTCTGGTGTTTTATCTTAGTTTTCTGTTTCCTGACACCTTTTCTTCTTCTTCTGTTGATCTTCAGCCTAATTCAATGAAATATTACAATGACTGCATTATTATCGGGAACCAGAAAGCATCATTTAGAACCACAGTTAGAGGTGTTGATAAATGATGGGGATTTTTATTATAATAAAGAAATACTTATTTAAGAGCAGTAACCTTTTCATGCTAGGGAAGATTTCCAAAGTAATTATTTTCACTCATGCTCAAGGCTTATTCTGCTGAACATATACAGCTTTGTAACTCCAAAACGTTCTTCATAGCCAAATTTTGCTTTTCAAGCCCACACATTTCACATGCTTCTTAATGATTCATTTGTTCCTACGTTGTTTGTTTTGGTAATGGACCCACCATCTGATTCAGCATGATAGGTCTTTGCTGCCAAATCATTCCATATTTGATTGTTGACTTGTTGTACATCAGGTCCTATGTTTTTTCTTGTTCTCCCACCTAGGATTTCTCCAGACTCATGATTTCCTGCTGTGAGGAAGCCTGCTAGGTTCTGGGTCGGTCTGTGCTTTGGTGACTATTTGCTACACAGCTGTAAAGGAGTTAGAATTCTCTTATGTAGGAAACAGGCCTCTGTCAAACTCCTGTGTTCTGAGAACCTGCCAATGAGTGGAAGAATCACTACAGAATTTACAGGAAGTGAAAACCATATTCACTTTCATATGAATTTTTTTTTAAATTATTGTATGTTAAAATGAAGAGATGTCAAAATACATATGTGAGGAGCTGTGTTCATTTTTATTCTTTTGAAACTAATTTGATGGTTTATTTAATTCATTATTTTGAATTTTTAGGAAAGATCTGACCTTGCAAGTTGCCTGTGGCAGCAGATTCCTGGACTCATGTGGAGACACAACATCAGCAGAAGTCTATCCTGTTGATTTACTGCAGAAAGCTCATCATCATCATAAAATCTTCAAGACAAGATTTGTGCTTTTTACTTTCTTTAATAAAGAACCAAGCATATAAATTGTTCAGAATAAATAATAATGTCAATAACTGCAGAAAATTTTTGTGAAAAAAAAATCCTGCCTTTCCATTTTTAAAAGTGTCACAGCTGGCACAATGTTAGAGGTAGTAAAGTTTTGATTGAACATGCTAATCTGAGCAGACCATGTTCAGAAGAAATAGATTGTCTTTATATATTGTTCTCTACTTTGTCTAGCATTGTCTTTACCATACATTAAGCAAGCATTCTCTTTTTCTCCTTATCTCTTTAATATCACACAGACTGCTGAAATAAATCCCAATATTCTTCTATTACATCTATTCTTGACAGATTTCTTACTGTTTTCAGAATGGTAATGTAATGTAATGAAAATTACATGAGTCATGAGAAACTGGGAGAGAAGATAAATGCAAAATGATGAAGTAAACAAAAATGAGAAAAAGTAGGGATGGGAAGTGGGGTTTTGGTTGGAGATATTAAAAAATATATATATAAAAGTTCAAAATTTATCCAAATAAGATTCAATAGAGTAGGTGACCTAAAGCCATCAAGGGAGTTATTCCTTCTTGTTCATCTGTTCATCTGTACATGGATTTGACAGCTAAATAAATCCTTAGCAAGCAGAGGTGAATGTCTGCTCTTTGAAGGCAGGTATCTGTGCTGCTCTGTTCAGAAAAGACATGCTACACACTTGTTAGTATTTGACTGTGCTGGCAAACAGCAAGCAGCAGGAATACCAGCAAAATGGTTCACTCACATGTGGGATTAATTTAAACTATTCAGGGATTGAAACTATTCCCTGAATTGAATAGTTCAGATTTTCAGAGGGATACTTCATCATTTTTTTCTCATATCGAATTAAAAAAAAAAAAAAAATCCTAAAATTTAAAAAGTGTACAAAGTGGATGAATAAATTGAATTTTTTTCAGCACTCAAAAAATATTTCATATTTTTATCTTGGGTGCTGCTCTGGTTTGTGAAAATGTTCTTAAAAGCAATGACAAAGTACTTTACAGCCAAAAATATATCTTTTCTCTTATGCTAAATATCTTGCAAGTGCCGTGTCAACAGCCTCAGTGGAACTGCAGTTGCCTCTGGTCTCAAAGTAAGGTAAGATTGGCCAGACCTGAACAATCCAAAAGCCTTGTATCTTGCCTATGACTGGGACTGACAGCAGATGACTTGCAAAGAATGAACACAGAGAATAGAAAAAGTGTCTTGGAGCTTTGCTGAAGAGCAGAAATGCTGCATAGTTTTTCCACAAATTAATCTGGGATTAGTGTACATTTTAGTTGTTACCATTGGCTTGGAGTCTTATTCAAACTATGTTGGGAGATTTCTTGATCAGCCACAACTTGACTGTTAGGGTAGATGAAACTAGAGTAGTAAGCAGTTTTGTATATTGGTCTGTAAAACAAAAAGCACGGAGTTGTATTTTTCCCAGATAGCATGAATCTGGGAAACCCTATCTCCATTTAGTCTTCTGAACAATGTTAATTTTTTTGAATTCTTCTTTCCACAGATCTCTTAGTCATTTAAGTTTATCTGCCCCTTACTATCAACTGAATAACACACTAAGTACTGTGATTAACATATAGCAAGAAAAGTGTTTTGGTGTTCCTCAGGTCCATTTTATTTCTATTTATTCAAAGGCCATTGAACTTCTCTTTAAAATTACGATTTCAGTATTTCATAAATCTTTATTTTTGCTGAGAGATCTAAAAATTTTCATAAAAATAAACCCCAAGCTATTCCTTTCTGGGGACCACTGGTAATTTAAAGAAATAATTTGTGTCTTTAACCTCATCCTGTGAAAATACAACAGAGCAGTGGAATCCTTAAGAAGAAATCCAGAGAGCTGGATGTTATCCAAACAAGTCTAAATCTAGACCACATCAATATTTTTTCTATTGAAAGCTTTCTGCAAATCAAGGGAATCAAGGGAACATATCTAGGTTTTGGGGTATAATTGCATTTGAATTATTGGGTTATTATTACATCTTAATAGCTTACTTGCCAAAAAATTTTAAAATAGTTGCAGAATTCAGAGATATAAGCAGATCTGATATTTTTTAAGTACAGGCTTTTAGGATCATTTACCATAGTGAATCATCTTTATTAATGGTTGCATTTCTTGTCTGCCTCCTTTGCAAATCAGATTAATTTCACTAAGAGTGCCAAATATGAATGTTAAATTGCATTCTTTCTTCTCCATATGTGGCCAGCACTGATGCTGCTGCATGGGATCCTTGATCAGTAAGAATGAATACTGTAGATAAGCCATTCTGCTGAAGTGTGAAAAATATCTAGTGCAATTTTGCTAGAATTATTTCCAGAATGACATCACTTCTGACATTGATCATGGGAGACCTAATAGTTGAGTTTATACTGTTGTTAACTTGTTTGCAGCCACTATAATAAAAGAAAAAAATCAAGTTAAACCAAGCAAAAGTTACAAGACCAGACTTATATTCTTTTTTGCAGTGTCATGACATAGGCGAGTAAAAGTAGATATTCAATTATGGTCTGAAGATACTAGAGTTGTTAGAACTTTTGTTTTAGCAGTATTTCATTAATAAGGCACCAAAGAGTTCAGCAATACAAATGTCAGAACAGTGTCCCATTCTATTTTTTGCCTTAAAATATTCTAGTCATAAAGCCTGTCATAATTCTTTCCAAAGCTGAATCACAGATAGCAAAGACCAAAAGGGCTTTAGAAGAATGGGATCTTCTTTTCTCTTGATGACTATTGTGGGTACTGCATCTATGAGGATAGTTTCACATTTTTTTTCCTCAAGAATGATAGGTTTTCGTTCCTCTGTTGTTTTCTCTTATTTCTAATTACTATGCCCCAGATTATAATGAATTTGGCCTCAAGAAAACCAAATGAACTTGGATCAAATAGTATAAATATTTGATCCAGAACTGCAACTATCCCCATAATTTTTGCTGACATATAACTGGAACTAAGTCACAGATGATAGAACTAAAGAGATATTGTTCTAGTTTAACTTCTTGTTCAGTATTTTTCTGACAACTAATGCTCAAGTTTATTTATGTGAACACAGTTTATACAAGATAAGTAAATGACAAAGCTAAGGCCAAGGCTGTAAAACAAGTTACTAGGAAGTCATGTGTTGTGAGTTTGTATGTTGTGGGTTCATAAAACATCAGCAATGACCCAGCATTTACGGGTTTTTCAGCAGATAAACACTGAGGTAGTTTGATATCAAGCAGGTAATTTCCTTCACGCTCCTTGCAGTGCTGGGTCATGGGCCTAGCACAGCTACTGTGTGGGATGGCAATCTCAGGAGACACCACTGGGCACTGCTGTGGAACACCTGACAGCACTAGCACAGTACAGCTCCCCTGAAAGCTGTCTGTTGTCTGCTTCCTCAACCACCATTCCATCAGCTTCTTGATAGTAATATGGAAAAGCTATGGAAATGCCTCTCTGGAATGAAAGCCATTAAGGCGTTTTGCTTTCTAAAGTTTTATTTTGTTTTTCTTCTCCTATGTTAAATTAAATATCTAAAGTAGTGTCATTGACTGTTGGATACTGTCTTACAGAAAATAATCCAACCCCTCAAACCCCAGTGCAGTAAAAGGGGGACTGTCATCTTTAAAGAGAGATGTTTATTGCCTATGTTGCTAAGGAACCTGAAATAATTACATCTTCTTAGTAATACCTTGAGTAGAGGATAAGAAAAACTGTTTTCTTAACAAAATTCTGTATGAGACAAGGGCATCCTGATAAAATCCATGGTTGGGTGAAAGGATAATACTGACTGCAATAGGAGATTTTAATTTTAAAAGAGGCTCTATGGATGATGGTGGTAACTACTTTCCTGTGACTTATAGTAAAAGCAGAAACATCAATCTCTTGATGACAAGACTCCCTCTACTTTCATTTTCCTATTTATTCAGTAGTATTTTGCAGTTACAATACATCAACAAATCAAAATAGCCTTTGTTGTTGCCACTGCAATTTGGGGAGGGTCTACAGAAACTCAAGTTTTCTTATGCTGTTTGAATTTATACTGTCTTAACTGACAAATTTATTTACAAGAAATTTATGACCTGAATACCTTCCAAGCAGTACAGGTTACAATGAATATGTGTAAATTAACATGAGCAAAGAAGATGTTTCATCAGTCTTGCGTTCATCAAAGAAGACATTCCTGGAAATAAGAAATATAAGAAGAAGAATTTCAAGCAGCCTTTCATGTTAGTCCAGTAACAGATAATTTGAAGGTGGATTCATATTTCATAACATCCTTTAAAACAACTTCTTTTTCAAATTAATTTTTTCTTGCTCACATTTCTCTGCTTGAATTAAATTAGATTTTTGTTATTGAAATGTGAACACTAGTTAAAAAGGAAAATTCTGGATTACATATTTTTAACAACACAATACAAATAAATCCAACATTGTAGAGATTTGTTGGTGCAGGATTTTGACAAATCTCAAACCATTTAGGAACAAAAACTTAGATTGGAAATTAGCACTTTGGGGGAAGATTTGAACCAGGCCTTTATGATTGTTGGAGCTCAGCAAATTCTAACAAGCATAAGAAAAAGCCACCATACATTTTAAAACAGAACACAACCTGAAGCTCCTGGGAAAAGGTGAGAGGACCCTACCTGACATAGGTCATGAAGGTGAATGCAGAAAAATGAGTCATGAGCTGAGGAACACTAGACAATGCTTTTCAAGGGACACTTATCCTAGCAATGAGGGAGAACTGAAGAACCAGTTCACCCCATCATCTATGAGTTTAAACAACCTTCACTTACTCTAAGGGAGAAATTAAAAGTGTTATGACTACAAGAGTTATATTACAACATTCTTGGGTTTGGTCACTTTAGAAAAAAAATAAAAAAGACAAGAGAAACCATTCGCTTACATTTTAGTCAAGGCAATGTACATGAATGTATTAAAATATTAACCTCAGTGGGGAAAATATTGTGAGACATTTTTGATGCCAAATAATTTTTATGCTTCATTAATGAGCAATGTGCGATAGAGAACCCTAGACCAACTTACACTTTTATAAACATCTATACTTCAAGAGTTTTCCTAAAACTGCCATCTTACCTGTGCTCGCTTTGTGAGTGGGTAAAAGTACAACAGGTTTACATAAATTGGCTTTTATGTAAAGTATAGCCAGAAAACCACAAGGAGTAGACTGAACCACGATTGTTTGGTTAAAGATAAACTACTATAGCTAGTATCTACAGAATGAAAATTAGTGTAGCTGGAACAGAAGACAAGATATTCAAGTGCATTTCCCTTGTAAGCAGTGCAGTGACTTAACAGGCAAGAAAGAGAAAAAAATATTTGTCAGCAAGAAGACTAAAAAAATTACATTTGTACTCAATGTAAGTAATGAATTATGGTTAAAGCGCATGTCTACAATGATGTACAGTTTGTGTAAGGGCTAAGGTAAGTGACTAAAAATAAGGACTGAGAAACTGAAGCTGGTACTTTTGGACACCCAGTTCCTGAAGTAGCAAAATAGTACACACAAAAATTAGGTTGTCCACAGATGTTTTAAAGGCATATATTGGATTGTTTTTTTTTAAATAACACAAACAAATGTCTTATACTTGATAACATAAGCT